TCCTGAGACGCGCTGTCCACACTCTCCACTCACCCACCCTGGTTCAGCTGCGTTGTAACCAAATCAAGTCACACACAGCTGCAGAGGAGGCCTCAAAGTCCCGGTGCTTTACTGTATTTTTTCATTTTGACACACACCGCAGGGGAAGATGTCAAGGACGGATGCTGATCGGCAAGAACAGGAACGCAGAGTTGAAAAGCACCCGGGAAGCAGCTCAGAGGAGAGAGGAAACAGACTGCCTGTGTTCACACGCTGCCCCGACTGACCGGGCGGGCCTCGAATGGGTCTCGTCATCATTGCACAGCCTTTTTCTAAAGCTGTGAGACAGGAACGATGATACTCATTTCACAGGGTCATTGTGACCAGAAAAAATGTGCAAGGTCTAATGGATGCCAAACAAATAGTAGCATTATTACAACGACCGACAAGTGGATACAGAAGGCATGTTCCAAGGGATAAAAGTCAGGGACCTCTTCTTTCATGAATCTTCTCCAATAACTTTAGTCAAAATTGATCTGTTTCTTGACTACTTTAGAATTTACTAGCTGAAACTTCAGCTTTCCATGGTATCATACCGTATATTTTTCTCTAATGATTTCACATGGGTGATCCTTGAATCTGAACATCACTATGATAGGTTGATGTGGTTAAATGTTTTTTCTAATACAGAACCTTTTATCTATCCATCTGTACACACACACCTGCACATGCACACACGTACATGCACACATGCATCCACACAGGCACACACACACGCACATGCACACACGCGGTTGCACACACACAGGCACACATTCACAGGCATGCATGCATGCACACAGGCATACAGATTAAATAAGTCCATTAGAAAAATGCAAGTACATGCACAAATATATTTTAAAATTTATAAAATTTTTTTCACTTCACACTATAGTCATTCTTTCAGTGAAATACTCTTCCTGTGGGTATACTGTTCAAGTTATCTCTGACATTCAGCCATGTTCATTCAAGTGGAAGAGAAAACTCAGCTATGCCCGGACTTTACTAGCATTATATAAAAATGACAGTAAGGTCACACTGGATTGCTAACTAAAGAAGAATACATTTAATATCATAAAATAATGTCTCTGAAGGAGGGAAATGTTGACAAATTAGAAAACGTTTTTCTCTAGATTAATACCAGATCCGAACGTAGCACTTCCTTATACAAATACTTCCTACCACATCCTGCCTCATCACATACCCACATTGAAGTCCTAAACAGGGTATTCTCAGCCTGTCCCAACCCCACGTAATTACAGACCCTGCCTCCCAGCTCCCCGTACATGCTCTGTGTTCAGGGCCCCACCAGCCAGGCCGCCTGTTGGTACCGGGGAAGCTGCCGTGCGCAGGTGTGAGCTTCCGAGCGAGGAGCGCCTCTGAGCATCCCGGGAAGGCACTCCTGCCTCCGAACAGACGCGCTCAGCAAACCACCCCATGGCTGGTGAGTAGAGCGTGGTGGGGCGCTCAGCCAGCTGCACCCTCATCCGGAACCTGTGTGCAGGCAGCCGCTGCAGGGTCCCATCTGGCAGCCTCTTGAAGTCCCAGCGATTCAAACCACGGAGGAGTTCTCCCCTTTGTCTTATCCCCCCCCATGTGTACCTTCATTTCTGTGATGCTTTTCTGACCCCACATCCAGACAGAATCTGTCATTACCCCTCCCACGCTACTCCGTGACTTAACGTTTTTATTATTGCATTTATTCCATCGTAGTGAATGTGTGTTTACATGACTGTCTTCCCTACCAGGCTATGAGATTGTCAATGGCAAGTTTCATGGTTTAATTCACATTTATAAACCTAGTTATTAGTGCTATCTGTAGCGGATGGCACTGTTTCTTTACATTTATTGCTCAATGAATGAATCAATGAAATCTTGCATGAATGATGATATGGATAGACAGATGGACGTATATAGATGAAGAAATAAATGGCTAAATAAAAAGCTTTTATAATGACTTGAAATAGCCTCTTCCAATCTTTATGTTAAAACCCTATACTTTGCCTTTCTATTCATTTCTCCTATTTTGTAATGTTTCTCTACCATTTTAACAATCCAAAGGAAATGTTCTCCAATAGCCCACAACAACACAAACAACAAATGGGTTTCACAAAAAATGTATACAGGGTGGGTAACTGACCGGAGCTGGGCTAGGGTGGAGACCAGGGTGTGAGCATAGGCGTGGCCACCTAGGGGAGCGCACACCTGCAGTGCACCTGTGAACTGCAGACAAAGCCGCAGCAAGGGGTGTGGGGTAGGGGCTTGTCCGGCCTCTTTTTTCTCCCCTCCCCTCCCCTCCCCTCCCCTCCCCTCCCCTCTTTCATTTTTATAGCCACTTTTTCTTGTAGGTGTTAATAATAAATCCTTTGTTTTTATCCTCACCCTAGGACATCTTTGCATTCATCTTCGGATGGAGGGAGAGAGGGAGGAAGAGAGAGAGAAACATTGTCAACGTGAGAGAGAAGAGAGACGCACGGACTGGCTGCTGCCTGCGTGGCCCCAGCGAGGGCCGGGACAGGCTGCAGTCAGGTGTGCGCCCTTAGTGGGAGCCGAACCTGGGTCTCTCGGAACTGCGGGCCCACGCTCTAACTGCTGAGCCAAACCGGCCAGGGCAACAGTAAATTCTTTAAAGAGGAAAACAGTCACCCTTCCCCAGAATCAGGGTCGTGCAAGTGCTAGGTCAGATCCTGTCTTTATATAACATTTTGATTTAAATTTTTTTTTCCTTTATTGATTTTAGAGAGAGAGGAAGGGAGAGGGAGAGCTAGAAAAAAAAATGTATACAGGGTGTCTATAGATTCTATAACATTTTGGAAATAAAATGTATTTTAATAAACACTGGCTTACAGTTATTCAAAGTCCTGTGCACATTTCCCCGAGCCAGCCTACACTTGTAGCGCAGACTCTCAGCGGAGAGCGCTCCAGGAATTCTCTCTCACACTCTCCTCCGCAACCTCACAGGCAGCAACTCAAACCATCACTGATCCCGAAGACCATGTCCTGGAGCTGTAAGCAAGCTGTCCAAGGTCACAGCCTTTCAAAGTGCTGGCACTGGGTTCGAAACCAGGTCTGCGTCATTCAGAGATCACACTTCTAACCTCCCTCCCACACTCCCCTCTACCCGTGCTGGTGCCCTCCCAAAGCCAAGTGTGCGCCTGACAGCTGGCACTCAGCAAGGGGCGATCGATTAAACTAACTAATGAAATTTAAGTGAAGCTTTCGCAGACAGCTATGGGAATTGCTGCAATCCCAGCATGAAGGTCTTTAAATAATCACATTTATCTGGAAAAGTATATTACAAAGAAATCCTACATAGCCAATTGCAATGAACGTACGTATGAGTCATTACTATAATGTGTGCATTAAGTCATCTTGTAAAGTACACAATCTAGTGTTACATTTCTCCCAAATACACTAAAGTAACCCACAAGGCAAGGTGTCATAGATCTTCACTCATGGATCCAGTTCAGACATTACGAAGTACTTCCCAGTGAGTGCTACATTTGCAAGAAAACGATTCATTTCCAGTGCCAATGAACTTATGTAACAAACCCATTCGTTTTCTTAGCTCCTCTTTGAATTCCTATAAAATAAATGATCTCACTGTACCCATTTTTCCTACTTCACAGATGAACACACTGCTTATTCTGAGGATGTAATGATACACAAGCATGGTCACTGGCTGTGTGGAGACAGACCAGGAAACTTATCCTGGGGGACCTGAGGGTCCTGAGGGTCCTACCGACCACAGGGAGGAAGAGGAAGAGGAAGAGGAAGAGGAAGCAAGGCCTGCAGGTCCAGCGGGGTCCAGGTAGATGAAATGGATGCAACAGGGGAGAGATGTGATTCTGAAGAAATCTTGGTATGTGGGGGATTCAAAATCACATCACAAGCTGAGGAGTTTGGGCTGCATCTCGAGTGCAAGCAGGAGTCTCTGAAGGGTGTTCCAGGGACATCAGGCACACACTTGTGTCTGAGAAGATGACCCTGGATGCAGAGCAGGGCACTGGATGGGGTGGGGGTCATTCTTAAGGGGCCATAGAGGCCAGAACTAAGTTAGTGACAATGTGGAGAGGGGAACATGTCACTTCGTCTGTTTGTTCCTTTTGAGTCTTAGCGCTTTGCAGTGACACCTGGCAGGCGATGGGAGGGTAGGTTTTATTAAACAGACTGTTAGCTACCTCTGCTTCTACTCTAGTTTAAAAGGCCATTAAACTCTTTCTTTGATAAGTCTGAATCCTAAGCCAAACCCAAAACTAGAACTGGCCACAGATTTTTCATCATATATTTCGAACACTATTTTTCCTAGCAATATGCATTTTCAAAGAACGTACACTTTCTCTTTGCATCATCCCCAAAAGTCTGTTTCTTTCTTTTCATGAGTAAGTAGAAGCTAAGTAAAATAATTGCTCATTTTTCTCAGTACACTTTTATCAGATGCATGAAAATAAAACAGTGAAGTAAAAAAAAGAAATACACTTAAAATTCCTTTTAAGTGACCATTGGGAAGCACTACAAAACCACAATCATCGCAAAATATAGTGAATATTCTCTATGCTTTTTATGTCAAAAGCTATAAACAGATTTAAATATTTAGGGAAAAACGAACACCTTCTATTCTTTATGGATGCAGTTCAATTTCACCATTTCAAACCTCCTGCCTGTCTGCCTTCCCACTGTGTCCATCCTACAGGCTGAAGTCACACATTCACTAGGTTTCAATGGCCTCGCCCAAGAGCCTTTTCTGATTCTACTTTCATTTCTTCCAAGAAATAACAGACTGGTCATCGATGTCTGGTCAACCAAAAATTGTACTCCACACAAAAAATCAAAAAAATGTTCTCCAAGTAAATAGGAATGTGACTGATTACATATATAGCTATTCTATAAATTATAGAAATATTGATATGCAGAAGTAGTAAAAACAAATAAAGTACTTATCCATTTGAAACAGTTAACCAGAAGCAATTGCACAGGCCTACCTGTATATATTTGTGAATGAACCAAGAAGCCTGCTTCCCGTCATTCACGGACTCCACAGTCGTGTTGGCCATTCCCACGATGTCACCGCCAGCAAACACCCCTGGTTCGCTGGTCTGCATAGTTTCTGGATCTACTTCTGGGAGACCCCATTTGTTAAATTTGATAGGGCTCAGGGCTTCTTTCACTGAGAAAAAAGGTGAAAGACAAGAGATCATGACAAACCTGTGTATCATGTAATAATAATTTGAAAAATTAAGAAAAAATATGATTTAATGACTGTTCTAGGGAATCAAGCAACTGTTTTTAATGAAGCATAAAAATGGAAAATTAATGAAATATCTAAGTATTGACTTAACCAACTCTCAATATACCTCACTTGTAGAAATGCAAAACCACAGAGTTGGCAATGTTTTAGGTCTAGTATTTATGTGTAACAGAAGTATAAATCCAGGAAGAAGGAGAGCATACCCCTTTAAATATTTTAATGAATATGAAGTGTATTTACATTCCTTTAAATGTATTTAAAATTCATTTTCTGGACGTTATTTGTCCATAATTATTATTTTCACAAATTTCTTATCGCTCCTAGGCTCCCAAACTTGTTCCTGTGAGTCACAGGTGTATGTGATGTGAATTTGGGTCAAAGGCTAAACCTCTTTCTTTCACAAGAATAAGTGTTATTAACCAAACAACACAAAGTCTACATTTACACTAAATCATTCGCACCTAATGTTGAGCAATTAAACTGACCCAGGAAGGGTTACCTTTAGTCATCAATCTGTTTTATTTTGTAAACATCAACAAATTTGAACATGGCCATCAGCTCCTTAAACTGCTTCAAATATGCTAAAATAATTGCTAAGCACCCTATGTTCTGAGGACCCCAACATGGGACGGAATAAGGAAGAGGCTGAGACTGAGTACAGGGCTCGGAGACGAGGAGAGATGGCGGCGGAGTGAATGGAGCTCCACAGACCATCTCCCAGGACCAAACTGGAATTACAACGAAAATAAAGACAAATCCTCAGGAAAAGGTAACCGAAAAGCAACTTGGAAAACCACATAACCAGGGACACTGACTTAATTCTGGTAGGTTTGCAGAGACGCAAGAGGGGGCCAGGAGCCACAGTCAGCTGTGGCTGGGAGCGGCAGCGGCCTCCACTGGGAGCTGCGCCCTCGGCTAGGAGCGGCTGCGGCCTCGGCTGGGAGTGGCTGTGCCTTCGGCTGGGAGCTTCGGCGGCCTCGGCTGGGAGCTGCTGCGGCCTCGGCTGGGAGCTGCTGCCTCGGCTGGGAACGGCAGCACCCTCGGCTGGGAGTGGCTGCGCCCTCGGCTGGGAGCGGCAGCACGGGCCGGGATCGGTAGTGGACTCGTCCGAGAGCAACGGCCTTAGCTGGGAGCAGCGCCCACGGGTTAAAATCCCAAGTGGCTCCAGAGTGCAGAGCCGGGACAAAGGCTAGAATAGCAGCAGCCACTCGCCTTGGGCTCTGGCAAAGGGAGGGCAGACTGGACTGGAACTGTGTGAGGAGACTCAGGATTTGGAGGGCTCTCAGAGCTTTTGCTGAGTTGCAGCCACGCAGGACTGTGGTCATCCTACTCCTTCCCAGGACCCTGGGGAGAAGTGGTGGCCCCTCCCTTGGAGATTCAACCCAACCCGGTGGCCATTGAAATGCTAATGGAGGCCCATTAACAACCAGCATCTGCCCCAACCTCCGGAAATCCTCTTACACTGAGCACCTGAGGGAGTTTTTCATTCAACTCACAAACTAGGGTTCTTCAGGTGACCTATAAGAATAGCCTCCAGGCAAAAAGCTAGAGGATAACTGGACCATTCCCTGGGCTAGCAACTCTAACCAGGAAAGTAAGACTTCACAGTGGTGTCTTACGTGGGTCCTCACTGCCTCATCCAAATCCAGGAGAGGGAGCCACAGACAGCAGAACACCAACACCCACAGGGAAAATTTGGCAGGCTCCAAAGCCCACTGTGAAAGCCAAAATGGTGAAACATAGAAACAAAAGCCAAATGAAAGAACAAAAGACCTCTACCGGAGATGAGATAAATGAAGTGCAGTTAAGCAAGTTAACAGAACAAGAATTCAGAGCAATGATCTTGAAAAACCTCAACAGCATGTGTAAGGACATGAGCACCATGAGTAAAGACAAAGAAATATTGAAAATCAACCAGTTGAAAATTAAAGATCACCAAGAAGAAATGAAGAATGACATATCAGAAATAAAGAACACATTGGAAGGTCTAAATAGCAGAGTAGAGGAAGCTGCAGACTGGATTGGTGAATTAGAAGATAGGGTAGAAAAAAATCAACCAATCAGAAAACCAAACAGAAAAAACAATTTAAAAACAAGAAGATAGCTTAAGAGAACTGTGGGACAACTGGAAACGTAATAACATTTGCATCATAGGAGTCCCTGAAGAAGAAGAAAATGGGCAAGGGTTAGAGAATATATTTGAAGAAATAGTGACTGAAAACTTCCCTAACTTGGTGAAGGAAGAAGGCATTCAAGTTCAAGAAGCACGGAGAGCCCCAAGTAAGAAGAACCCAAACAGGCCCACACCAAGACACATAGTAATCAAAATGCCAAAATTTAAAGACAGAGAATCCTAAAAGCAGCAAGAGAGAAGCAACAGGTTACCTACAAAGGCTCTCAGCTGACTTCTCAACAGAAACACTACAGGCCAAAATGGAGTGGCATGAAGTAATCAAGGTCATGAAAAACAAGAATCTGAATCCAGGACTATTCTACCCAGCAAGGCTATCATTCAAAATAGAAGGTCAAATAAAGAGCTTCCCAGACAAAAAAAAAAAAAAGGCTAAGGGAATATATTAGCACCAAACCAGCACTAAAAGAAATATTAAAAGAACTGCTGTAATTAGCAGGAGAAATAGGAAGAAAAATAGAACCACACTAAACTAAAATGGCAATAAATAAATACATATCAATAACCACCTTAAATGTAAATGTATTGAATGCTCCGATAAAAAGACACAGAGTCGCTGATTGGGTGAAAAAGCATGACTCATCTATATGTTGTTTACAAGAGACCCACCTCACAACAAAAGACTCATATAAGTTGAAAGTGAAGGGATGGAAAAAAATCTTCCAAGCAAATGGAAAGGAAAAAAAAGCTGGGGTAGCAATACTCATATCTGATAAATTAGATTACAAAATGAAGACCATAACTGGAGACAAAGAAGGCCACTACATAATATTGAAAGGAGCTATCCAACAGGAAGATATAACGTTGATAAACATATATGCACCCAATATAGGAGCACCAAAATATATCACAAATCTTCTGGAAGACTTCAAAGGAGAAATCGATAGCAATACAATCATGGCAGGGGATGTCAATACCCCGCTGACATCACTGGATAGATCCTCTAGACAAAAAATTAGCAAGGAAACACAGACTCTAAATGAAGCACTACACCAAATGGATTTAATAGATATCTACAGAGAATTACACCCCAAAACTACAGAATTCACATTCTTTTCAAGTACACATGGGACATTCTCAAAGATAGACCACATATTAGGACACAAACTAAGGCTCTACAAGTTCAAGAGATTGAAATCATATCAAGCATCTTCTCAGATCACAATGGCATGAAACTAGAAATCAATTCCAACAAGAACACGCAAAGACATTTGAACACATGGAAGCTAAATAGCATGTTATTAAATAATGAATGGGTCAATGAGGAGATCAAGGAAGAAATTAAAAACTTCCTGGAATCCAATGAAAATGAACACACAACAACACAAAACCTATGAGATGTAGTGAAAGCAGTCCTGAGAGGAAAGATGATAGCACTACAGGCCTACCTCAAGAAGCAAGAAAAATCTCTAATAGACTACCCAACCTCACAACTTTAAGAACTAGAAAGCAAACAAACTAACAACAACAACAACAACAAAAAACCCTAGAGCAAGTAGAAGGAGGAAAATAGTAAAGATCAGAGCAGAAATAAAAGACATAGAGTCCAAAAAACAATTCAAAGGATCAATGGAACAAAGAGCTGTTTTTTCGTAAAGATAAACAAGATTGATGGACCCTTAGCTAGACACACCAAGAATCACAGAGAGAGAACCCAAATACATAAAATGAGAAATGAAAGAGGAGAAGTAACAACTGACACCACAGAAATACAAAAGATCATCAACAACTACTATGAACAATTATATGGCAACAAATTCAAGCAAAATGGACAACTTTATAGAGACACATAGTCTCCCAAAACTGGACTGGGAAGAAATAGAAAACTTGAACAGACCAATAACAACAGAATAAATTGAAGATGTAATCAAGACTCTCCCAGAAAACAAAAGCCCAGGCCCAGATGGCTTCAAGGGGGAGTTTTACCGAACATTCAAAAAAGAGCTAACACCAATTCTACTCAAACTATTTCAAAAAATTCAAAAAGAAGGAAGACTTCCAAAGTTGTTTTATGAGGCCAGCATAACTCTAATTCCATAACCTGGAAAAGACATTACAAAGAAAAAAAAAAAACTACAGGCCAATATCCCTGATGAACATAGATGCCAAATTCCTGAACAAAATACTAGCAAATCGGATCCAGCAAAAAATCAAAAAAATTATTTACCATGACTAAGTGGGATTCATTCCAGGTATGCAAGGCTGGTACAATATTCACAAATCAATAAATGTTATACACCACATAAACAAAATAAAGAATAAAATCCACATGATATTATCAATAGATGCTGAAAAAGCCTTCGACAAAATCCAGCATCCATTTCTGATAAAAACGCTCAGCAGTGTAGGAATAGAGGAATCATAGGTAGATATAATAAAGGCCATATATGATAGACCTACAGCCAACATCATACTAAATGGGCAGAAACTAAAAGCATTTCCCTTAAGAACAGGAACAAGATAGGGATGCCCACTTTCGCCACTCTTATTTAACATAGTACCAGAAGTCTTAGCCACAGCAATCAGACAGGAAGAAAAAATAAAAAGAATCCAAATTGGAAAGGAGGAAGTGAAACTGTCATTATTTGCAGAAGACATGATACTATACTTAGAAAACCCCAAAGACTCCATCAAAAATTTACTAAACTTAATAAATGAATTTGGCAAAGTAGCATTCTTATACACCAATGATGAACTCACAGAAAGAGAAACTAAAAAACAATCCCAT